CCGTGTGATCTGAAAATTTGAGTATACAGACTAATGCATGTTTGAGATGGTTTTAGGTTGGGTTGGGTGACTGAAATATACATATGATAGAAACTGACTGCTGATTTTTATTGAGACTCAAAGAAGGAGATAGAGAAAAAGCTTGCGGATTATATAGCAGACCAATAATAGAGGAGCTTAATTTGGCTTAAGGTTAGTTGTGTTTGTGTGTCAGAACACACAATCGGTCAAGTCAAGGACGTTAGATTATAGAAAGAATAGTAGAAGCGGTGTGGTGTGTGCTACTGATGTCGACATATATGAGTAGTATGTGTCACCAATCGAAAGTGGAATGCCGGGCAGCAGAAGGTTGAGAAAAACAAAGAGATGAGGATGAGAACAAAGAGTGATTGATAAAAAAACCCAAGGAATAACAAACTCCGAGACAATTGACGGATATTTTGCAAATAAAGTATTTACTGTATGGTCCTCAGATTTTACCAAGATATTCTGTAATGTTGTATCAAAATACATTTGATTGCCCCCACTGGTGTTCTCATTCACGACAGTGGACCAGAAAAGTAATTAGAATTAAAATTCTGTTTGGTAAACTAAGCACAGGATATCGATTAGCATCTAGAATCATAATTTAATTTCATTTACGATGTCTTCTGCTTCTCAACGTTATGTACCAGTGGTATCTTTTCAAATCAGTTTATAAGGGAAATATTTTCTAATTCTCCTGAATAGTTGTGGTGCCATTTTGGACAACGTTTTATGATGATTTTTTCCTACCTATCTGAAGTTTTACACACTGATGGCAATTCCAATATGGTTGATTCGTAGACTGACTAGAAATACTTAAAAAGTAACTATTAATGGGGAAGTGTTTTGGAAAATTACAGTTCATATTGTTATAAATTTAATGTGTAACAAACAATATGGCAAAAATTGTATCTAATCAAATGAAGTAGTGACCCTGTGGTTAAAAAATTACTAATTTTTCAAGCAGTATATGACAGTTTGGGCAGTCTAGCAGGTGGTATATGAACACTAGCCTTTATAATACAAGTCAAGTAAACAATTAACATGGACTTGGTAAATGAATAACAGTAGGACAAATGATTGAATTCACTTTGATGTTTGAATTGTAAATAACAGAAAAACTGCACAGTAATTTAAATCTGAGAATAAAATTTTCCGAAAAGTCGGATATTTTAAATAGAATGTGACTAGTAAGTTTGGTGCAAAACGTGCATATTTTCATATTTGGGACTTATCAGCTGGATGTATATGCATTTTAAAGTTTACATAGTGAACATCAACAACTCTAAGACTCAGGTACATCCAACTGATGATTTCCAAATAGGACAAAATACGAGTCCTGGATTTTATTGCTAATCACAGTCTATCTCTTCTAGATAAACTTGTGACAATGTGTACATCGAGATAAACTGCATGTAAAGTACATTTCAAAATATCAAGAATGGGATAATCGAAACTTGTATAAATTAAATCCATTCTTTTAAAACTTGAAATAGTTAGGTTTTGAATCAGAATAGACCTCGAAATCTCAACCCTATTTGATTGATAGTCACAAAAAATTCTTCTCCACCTAGGTACCTACTTTACTGAATGCAAATGATTGAAGAGAACAAGTTGATTGCAGTAATTTTGCAAAAACAAATTGCACTTCTTCAGTGAGTAAGATAAGTGAACTTAGATATTGATTTGTGTTTTTCTAAATGAAAGACCATATTCAAAACACCATAGTATTTCTATGTAAATGATAAAAAAGATTTTATTCGAATGGATATGAATTGTAAGCAATAAAAAAGAGTAATAATAACTTATTACTACTGACCACTTCCAAAAACCTCACGAAACAGAGTCAATTTGGATAATTTACGACGAAATCCTCCACTACCAACACCACCGTTGCCACCACCATTTGGATAAGCTTCTGTATCGGATGAAGAATGTGGAATATTACCGGATAGCCAAGCTTCAACTGCTGTTGTATCTTCAACGATCGACTTGTACTGATTCATAAACAATATTGTAGTTCAGTAGGATTATGTAAGGGAAAAAAGAGAAAGGCATATTTAAATGTGATCGAGATTTTCTTTTCATTCGACTCAATACTCAATTGATACACTTATTTATTTATTATTTGAACACATAAATATTGGTACAAGAGGGCACCAAATATATATACGCCACACAAAACAATGAGAATTTAAAGAGAAGGAAAAAGAAAAAAAGTAAGGGGCGTAAAAGAAGAAAAAAGAATAATAACGACCAGATAAGTGTAAAGTAGTGTACTACTAATAATAATAATAGTTATAATGGGGGAAACGGAAAGGTACAACCAGAGGAAATCTTTCAGTTAAGAAAGATAAAACCACTTTTCATGAAGAAAGTAAAAGAAGGTTACAGCACGATCGCCACTGGCTTCTATACCGAGCCATATCTGATAACGTCTCTAGCCAGGGAGCCGTGAAGGACCAACACAAGCCAGTCCTTTGCAGCTCTCTTTCATACCACGACACCATGTCATACACTGACCACCTCTCCGCTTCTTCCAACCAGTCCAAGAGTCGGCAAATAATGCACAACGTGGAATTCTCTGGGACAACATTCGTAGAACATGTCCAAGCCACCGAAGTCGGTGTTTCAAGATGGTGACACCAATTGAATTATCATTTCTGTGCCCTAACACACGATGCCGAACCTCTGCATTACTGACACGGTGTTGCCACTGAATGTCAGCAATCCTTCGGAGACAGCGATGATCGAACACAGAGTCTTCTAACGTCCTCAACTCGGAGAGGCCAGGTTTCACAAGCATAGAGCAAAACTGCTCTCACCGACGCGTTGTAGATCCGACCTTTTACAGTCAGACTAACATCACGGAGGCGCCAAAGGTGGCCCAGATTGGCATAAGCCGCTCTGGCTTTCACTATTCGTGCATTGATCTCATCACTCACACCCCCACCAGCACTTATACAGCTACCCAGATACACGAACTTCTCGACTACGTCTATCTGTTCACCATCCAGAGTGAGTACAGGATTAGAATCCTGCCAGTTTTGTAGAAGTACTTTGCACTTCGAAGATGCAAAGCACATACCATACCTACGGACACTGATTGCTAACTGATTAAGTGCGGATTGCATGCCTTGGGCATTATCACACAGTAAGACAATATCGTCCGCATACTCAAGGTCAAGAAGTCTTTCTCCAGGCAACAGATCCACACCACCATTACTTACATTCATCAGAGCTGTTTCCAGAATGTCATCGATGGCAAAGTTGAAGAGGAATGGTGAGATTGGGCAATCCTGCCTAACCCCACTGCTCGAATAGAACAATGGAGAGAGGTGGTTGTATGCCCTCACTCTGCCTGAGCTGTTTCTATATAGGGCTTTTAGGATGTTAATAAACTCCTCAGGCACACCCTTCTTCAATAGACAATCCCAGAGAACAGCCCTGTCCAACGAATCGAAGGCAGCCCTGATGTCAAGAAACACTACGATTGTTGGCCTTTGATAAGTATGGCGGTGTTCTAACATTTGGCGGAGGGTGAAGATATGATCAATACATCCTCGACCAGAACAAAAACCAGTCTGCCCCTCGCGAGTCAATCTTTTTCGAGTTTTGAACAACCTACGAAGTGTGACGGAAGCCAATAGCTTGGACGCAATCGGAAGTAGACGTATCCCCCGATAGTTGTTACAGGAACGACGTGAACCCTTTTTAAAGATAGGGACAACTATCGACTCATTCCATGACGTTGGTACCCTCTCTTGTTCCCAAACCTTTGTAAACAACACAGTCAGTTCCCCAGTCAGAAAGTCACCACCATCTTTAAAAAGAGCCGGAGGTAAGTTATCTGGGCCCAGTGATTTGTAGCGCTTCAAGAGTTGGAGTTCCTTGAGGACTTCCGTCTCATTTGGTGGATTAGTCATCACCGGCCATGAAGGGAAGGACAGTCTGACCGATGTTGCCGGAGCAGCAGGCCAGTTGAACTGCCCTTCGAAAAATTATGCCCATCGTCCAAGACGTCCATGGATGTTAGTGACTGGCATCCCGTCATCCTCACAGATTGTTTCGCTCACACCAGACTTGCTGCCAGTGGCTCGGATGAGTTGGAAGAGCTTCCGGTAGTTACCAGATGCAGCTGCTGCTTCCAGCTCATTAGCACGCTCCGACCACCAGGCTTCTCGGTCCTTATGCAAGCTTTGTTCAATTTGATTATGTAACAGCCTTCGTTTATGGTCAAACTCACGGTCACCCGGAGTAGACTGACGGGCTTCAATGAGTTGTAAGGAGCCTGAAGAAACCCAGTGCTCATAAGCAGGACGTTCCGCGAAGCCGCAAGCGGCTTTGCTCGCCATTTTGATGGCGTCATGCAGTTGCAACCAATGCTCATCTACACGTTTCGGTGGAGTGGTAGCTAGCCTAGAAGCTTGCTTGGTTCGATACTTACTAGCAACAGAATTTGCAACCAGCTTGCTAATATCAATCCGTTGATGGCGGTCACTTCGTTGGCCACTGAAAAGGTAAGATTGGCGCAGACCAGGGCATGATCAGAGTCCAGATAGGTACTCCAAAAGGAGCGGCAGTCTTGTACACAACCACGCCTGCGGTAGCTGATCGCGATGTAATCAATCTGAGTCCAGGCTTGAGATGCAGAGGAAGGACGCCAGGTGGCACATCGGCGATGACTGTGCCGAAAGTTAGTCCTAGCCAGAAACAGGTTATGCTCTGTGCACAGTTGCAGAAAACGGTCCCCGTTATCTGTCCTGAGACCAACAAGCCCCCATCGGCCACCTAAACGACTCTCTTCTGTGCCTAGACGCCCGACCTGAGCATTCAAGTCTCCGGCTAGTACTACAATATCTGTCGAACGCACTTTCTGGAGAAGAACTGATAACTGGTGGTAAAACTCATCCTTGATTGCATCCAGGCTGCAATCTGTCGGAGCATAGGCGGAGATGACGAAAAGACATCGTTTCTCACGCCGATTTCTTCTCACTTTGATGGAACTTTCTAATCTAACAGCACATAACCGACTGTTAATGGGGATCCAATCGACGAGTGCTGCCTTAGCTCTAGCGCTTAGTGAGGCATCAACACCAGCAAGACCAGACAAAGATGTCACAAAGTACTCGGATAAACGCATGTAAAACAAGCTTTTCGAAGCAGCAGATGGAGAGCGAATTTGTAGTACTTCACCAGAGTCTTGAATACGGGTCTCCGATAGACAACAAACGCCCATATTAAGACTTTCCAAAGACATAGCCAGCCCTATCTGTTGTCCAACCTGCATAAGTGTGCGAACGTTGAAGGCAGCCAGTTTGAATGGTGCACGTGATTTCAGAAAAAAATGATTCGTATTTGGCGGTAGCATACAATTTTCAACCAGGCGTTGACTCGATTACGTTTAGACAGAGCCGAATTTCCACCACAGGCGAGCTGCTGTATAAGTCGAAAAATAAGTATAGACAGAGTGGGAATAAAAGAGGGTGAATAATGACGTAGTAAATATTATTATTAATAATAATAACAATAATAATAATAATAATATGAATCGTTTGACTGTTAATCAAAGCGTGAATAGAATTTTCAGTAAATATCGTCATTTTCATTTATTTGTGTGTGGGCTGTGATACTGACCGGGTGCCCAGAACGAAACAGGTGGTTTTAGTAGGGGGCCACACACCGAGCCTTTGACCTGAAGGTCTGACCCACAAGGCAGTGGAGCATCGTGAGGAGATGCAGACCCATGGTAGCCGGTGACCGAAAATTGGTTCATACGCCATTTGTTCCCGCAGGATACTGGAGCCCATGTGCACCATTGGTTTGGGATCCGGTTAAAGTGCCGGACATTCGCTTTTTGTCCTCTCAATTTCGTAAACACCCCTGGTGCGAGAAGGCAGTGAGTGGGACTTCCCTGACAGATGCTGTATATGCGTGGCCGTGTGAGAGCATTTCAAGAGGGAAGGCAGACCCACCCCACTCTCGGCCATACCAGGGCATTTGAAGCTCGACTCAATACTCAATTGTTACACTCTACACAGACTTAGTTCATATTATACCAGGCACATGATTCAAGATCAAATATAGAGAACCAGAGTATAGACTACTTAATACATTATTCCAAGCAGCCAATATACATTTATTTATTTATCTATTTTAACACATAGATATTGGTACAAGGAAGCACCAAATACATATGTGCCACACAAATCTCATTCGATATGTGTGAGGGCTGTGGTACTGCCCCTGGTGCCCAAACCGAAGCAGGTGCCAATATACATAGTGCAAATCGATAATAGAACAAAAAATCACATGTTTACTATGTCAGTAAGGTCAATATCTTTCAATTAACACACCGTGTCCAATCATATTCTACTTTTACTAGCCATATATTAATAAGTGGTTATAAATATGAACAGTAAGAATAAATAAGATATAATCTCCAACGTGGCGATGTTGTCCACGAAATTCTGAGGACAAGAAGCGAATGTCTGGCACAGGCTTTAACAGGGTTGTTGGATATGGAAGATTCACCTAGGTGAGTTGGAAAACCTTGATTCCAAATCAATGGTGCACATGCGCTTCAGGATCCTGAAGGAACAAATGATGTATGAATAAATCGTTGGTCACAGACAACTATGGGACTGCATCTCCCAAAGTTGTTTCACTGCCTTGAAAATCAGATCTTTAGGTCAAAGTTTCGAGATGTGATCCCTTAAGAAAATCACCTGTTTCGGTTTGGACATCCAGGCAGTATCCCAACCCTCACAAAAATCGAATGATTTATGTGGTGCATATCTGTTTGGTGCCTCCTTGTACCAATGTTTATGTTTTCAAATAACCTGGTAAAATACATATAGATGAGATTTTTCCGAAATCATATGTCAAAATACATTTTATTGTACACAAGGTAAACTTTAAAATAAAAGTTTTGATATTTTTTATAACAATCAAGTATTTCAACTGAAAGAATCGATTTATGTTGAAATGGAATGTTACGATATTAAGATCAGAAATCCTTTCTAGAAAGAAAGTAAAATTGTTTATATTGTCAAAAATAGAGTTATAAAATTCAATGATTATTTTTTAATAATTTTGTGAAGTTGTTGCTTTGTAGTACTCACCCACCCTACAACAATAAAAGAGACATATTACACATTCATACCGCGTTTGGAGACGATGTCTTTGTTTTGGTAGACAGTTGTATTAGTAAGCTAGACATTGAATTTACTTTCAAGATATTTGTAAGTAAATTAGTAGGTATACATTGTTTGCAAAGATCAATATTTATAAGTCTTTACCATTAAATCATCGTGGGAGGATTGTATTTCTGATTAGTCGGTGTTAAGACTGTGGGAATTATGGCAACCAAGTAGAGAGAATTGAAGCTAGATCTTATTTTAGTTCAATATATAGTGAATGTATATCAAGGACAGTGTTTATGGGCACTGAATTTATAAACTAGTCTAATGATATGGATGGAAACGTTGATATAGAAAGCAATAAAACTTCATACAGACACAGATCGATGACCAGATTGACATATTGAATAAGCAGTATTAAGTATGTGCCTCATCGACCAAGCGAACTAGCTACCTAGATAAGCAGCAATCGATTCAACACATTATACTGTTATCGTCGTCTGATAAATCAGAAAACTAGTCTATCATACAAATCGAAGAACGAAACTTAAAGACCTGGATGTTGTGTCGAAGGCTCAAACTGCCGAACCGTACACACAGACTAATGATAATTCAATACCTAGATTGGTTATAAGGATTTAAGTAGCTACATGTGTTGAGTAGCTCACTTATTCTGGAAGACTCATCAGTCCTCGTTCCGTGGTGCCTGACGAAATGTCCGCACAGACTTAGGTGTTCGAGTGGCTTTCATCAACTTACGTCATTTGTGGCTTAGGCGAAACCTCAATCACTCCCAATCAACTCAACAGTCTACATGCATTAACACTACTTTATGATTGTAAATCATGCTTTGTAGAAGTAGTAGACAAGTGTAAACTACACTTTTTCAATCATAGGTATTTTCGAAGTATTGTTCGTGCCTCGTGCAACGATCGAGTGATGATCAGTGTTGAGAATAGAGGACAGGTAGGTATCTAATGAAGAAGGGAAGTCGATTGATGAGATAGTGAATCTTCAGAGACTGATATTGTTGAGACAAGTGTTACATATACCAAACCATTACCCAGCTCGGTATGTAATGATTGGATAATATAGGAATAGTTTGTAAAATGACTAAGAATGCACAAACTAAAACGTTGGACCAGTCAGTTAATGAAATCATATACCACTGAACTAAATCACATTGGTAGATGGAGACTATTTGGTTGGGATTTACCTCGTAACTTCGACCAATGGTTAGGGAAGGTGAGTTACATCGATTAAAATTGATCACAATGGCACAGATCCATTCACTCTTTATCTCTCTTTAGATTTTGAGTACTTTATTTACTTATTAAATACATAAATATTGGTAAAGAGGGACACCAAAATATATATAAAGGAAATAGACAAGTGATGCAACATAAAGAAAAATGGATGTAACAGAATAGTTAAGTATAATTTGTGAAAATGAGTATTAAAGCAAGAATAACTTCTCAAGTTGTAGTGATTATCCGATTTGCGTGGGCTGGGATACTGTATGGAAGCCCAAACCGAAGCAGGTGGTTTTCTTATGAGGCCTCAAGTCCCAAATCTTTGACCTAGAGGTATAATCCATAAGGCAGTTCAACAACGTAAAGAGATGCAGTCCCATAGTAGTCGGTGATCAACAATAGGTTCATACGCCACTTATTCCTTCAAGATCCTGAAGTGCATGTGCACCATTGGTTTGGAATCAGGGTTTTCCAACTTCCCTGGTTGAATCTCCCATATCCAACAACCCTGTTAAAGCCTGTGCCGGACATTCGCTTTTCGTCCTCTCAATTTCCTAAACAATACCCTCGCCACGATGAGTAGGACTTCCCTGGCAGTGGTTGTATACGCGTGGCCATATAAGGGCATTTTGAGCGAGAGAGAACCTTTCCAACCCACTCTCGGCTATATCAAGGCATTTAAGGGCAGATCTTCAGTTCTAGTACTTTTTCATACATAACTTATTCTCGAACCGAATCCGCAATATTTAACCTTTCTTACTATTATTTGTGCTGCAGTTATCTCGATTAGTTTGATATTTACCTTGTTGTGTTATCGTTGCTTCTGTATGCCGACGTGGGTTAGCATATATTTATGCAAGGCTCTGATGTTGTCTCCAACAGAATGTCCATTAAGTTTTCTAATATGTTTTTTACAAAAAAAGGTAAATACTAGTAACATTAACATATTTTCATATTATACAATTCATTATTTCAATTACCTGATCAGATAGAATAGCTAGAATAAATAATCCAAATAGACAAGAGATTGCTACAAGTACAATTGTATGAGCACTGAATACAAAGAACAAGCAAACAAAATAGTAAGAAAATAAAATATACTGTAAATTTTCAAACGGAGTAAGTTATATATATATATATATATATATATATATATATATATATATATATATATATATATATATATATATATATATATATTGCATTAATACTAAATATCAAGTGTTCCATCTGTTCTAAGCATACCCTTGGTAGATAACAAAAATGGTGTCCTGAATGTCCAACTGTGTGCGTATGTGTGTGCGCTATCTGTAACTGGCGAATTTATTAAAGGTAGAAGTACTAACGATTGAATGCTGGCTCAATGGTTTAAAGGTTAAGCGTTCGCTATGAAACCTGAATGGTTTTAGTTTTAATCCAAAATCAATGGTGAGGTCGTGAGTAGGCACTGTTGAGGAATACCAATAATAGGACGAAAAAAACTATTGTTTCCTGACATCCAATGGTTGATCTAACTAAGGTAAATCCAACTACAGAATTCAACACTCTCCGTTTCCCATACTAATATGATACTTTTGATCAGATAATTGTTGTCATGCATAAATGCGGAGAATCAATAAGCTAGAAAGGTGTGATTCAAAGCTTAGATTAACTGTAAGTAATTTATACGATATATATCTTTCATATTAATTTCCGAAACTATTCCAACTAATTACCAAGTAAATTTTTTTTAAAACTCGATAGCAGAAATGGGCAAACTATGTTTTTTATTAAACCTCCTACCTCCGAGATCATCTATAAATATGCGTAAAACAAGGACTAGAAATGAGAATAATTTTAAAATATTTTAGGAAAACAGTCTTAGGAAACAATTCATAAAATAAGTTGTTTAGTGGTTTATGTTTATTCAAATTGAATGTTTAATAAGCATGAAAAATCGCATTTTTATTCCACTATATCGGAATAAACCAAGACGTGGCACCAGTCGATAAAGTCGTTGATAGTTGGATTAAACCACGTATGGTCCGTAGGATTATCGTAATCAATGGATAGAGAACTTGGGTGACATGATTCAGAATCATTCACAATGAAGCAGACATATTCACTGATCATCTACCTCTAGAATCTTACCCTATAAATCTCCTTATACCTTCTTTTTTTCTTTTTTATGCCCAATCTTTTCTATTACTACTTCTACTACCGTGGAATTTAACTTGATAACATAATCTTGCTGTGCTTAAGTGATATAATAAGTTGAACTGATGCATATGTGTCAAGTTCTACGTTGTGCATAATTGAATGATTTCTGAACTGACATAAACGTATGTGAAGGATATAGAAAGACTGACATTGTAGAGTGAACCTTACCTTATATATATAACATTAAAATTATTGTTTTCTAAAACTAATTAGGTTAGTTATTCCGTAAACAATTCAAAATAAATTTGGGTTAGACATAAGTATATAGTCAGTCAAGAAGTATTAATCACAACCACGTAATAAACTTAATCACAGCAAAATATCATTATTCCCACAGATTAAAGTAAACAGACGCTAATCCAACGTCGGTAATGTAAATTACGACAGACAAAGTTGATTCATAGTTACACAAAGGAAAAAAATTTGTACAAAAGTTGAACTTATCTCCTTGATCAAATTACATTTTTAACAATGATGAATGAAGTGAGTACTTGAGAATTTTATTAGTAAATGATGCATATCAATAAATTAGTTAGGGAAACATTTTAGCGTTTTGTGAAGTCCGCCTAGCATTATCCGTATTCATCTAACTTGTTAATAAAAATTTGCCCACTTCAGTGATCTACAGTTTATAAATTCAATAACAGTGGCAATGAAAAAGAAACACATTAAAAGACAGTATCTGATAAGAAAGTTTAGTATTCATTGCTTACACAACTACAACATCGGCATTAGACGCGTCTTCTTTTAAACCGGCCGAGATCATAGCACGACATATAAGTACCAGTATCAAAGCATATACACAAAGAATGCCTGAAATCAGAATACACAAAAAATATAACATATTCTTTCTTAATAAAAATGTAGTTAATTGATCACTCAGCATGTACAGACTAACGTAGTCGTTTGTGAGCCATTTCGTTACTATGGTGTTAGAGATAAAAATTCGGTTGACTGGGTAGGTGTGATGTGACTTGGACAAACAACCTAAGTGACTGATTTAATCACAAAAATATCGTTTCATACTTCGTTCCTTAGTAACTCCTTAATAAAATTATACACAAAATATTCGTTTCTTCAAATCTGGAGATACACAATCGTTGTGAAGAAATAGGAGGGAGAACGGAATGCATTCATATATATATATATATATATATATATATATATATATATATACCATTGGTCAAGATTTAGTTTCATTTTCTAATGAATTGTTGTGTAGGTGAAACCCAACGATGATTAGTTATTGCTTCCAGATGTACTGATTGGTAGTCAGACACATATCTGATTGTTATTTATATTTTCCTACCCTTTATACTTCATGTACTAATTAATATTCGTGCTAGTCAACTGGACAACGTGTTCATAATCTGAGTTGAGCTGATGTGTGGCTGAGTATTGAGTAACGTACAAGTCGGTCGTATACACAACGGAATTATTCCATCGTTTGTCCTAGGAAAATCAACGTTTCAGGAGAAACTTAACATTATTTCAGTCACAAACATATATATAAGAATGAGTGTATATGTATTCTGCAATCGGTTTTACTTAATAAAGCTTCCTTCTCACTATCGGTTTTCTCACAGGAATAACTGGTTTGGGCTCGAGTACAGGAAGTCTTGATATCAATAGAAGAATCAGACGACCTCACAACACAATATATCTCTCCTGTGTATAATATTTATGGACATTTGGTTATCTATTACCTACAAGTGATATTTCATGTAACTAATCATAGTCTTTAATAAAAATGCAGGCTCATCACAATTAAATTTGTTACGTTACACAAACGAAATACGGATAGTAATCAGTATACAATATGTGTTTAGTTTACATTCGAAAATTAATTAATACAACTTAAACAAGCAGGTTTAACAGTCATTGGTAAGAAATGTATTCCATGTGTGTGAGATCATGAAAAATATTAATTTTTGCTTAAAAATTATATTATTTTATTTTATTTGAACACATAAATATTGGTACAAGAGGGTACCAAATACACATGTGCCACACATTTTCATTATCAGTATATTTGTGTGTGGGCTATGATACTGCCCGGGTGCCCAGAACGAAACAGGTGGTTTTCTTAGAGGGCCCCACACCCCGAGCCTTTGACCTAAAGGTCTAACCCATAAGGCAGTGGAACATCGTGAGGAGATGCAGTCCCATGGTAGCCGGTGACCAACGATTGGTTCATACGCCATTTCTTCCCGCAGGATACTGGAGCCCATGTGCACCATTGGTTTGGGATCCGGTTAAAGCGCCGGACGTTCACTTTTCGCCCTCTCATTTTCGTAAACAACACCCCTGCCACGAGGAGGCAGCGAGTAGGACTTCCCTGGGAGAGGCTGTATTCGCGTGGCCATGTGAGGGCATTTCGAGAGGGGGGCGGTCCCATCCCACTCTCGGCTATACCAGGGCATTTGGGGGCTTAAAAATTAAGTCTAATGCAATTATTTTTTCTAGACTGACAAGAAATAAATTGATAATACTAAATTTCCAAAATGGAGATTTATGACAATTGTAGTCATTTTAATAGTTGAATTCATGAATCAATCTAAACAAGATTTTTAATGTACACTCTTGAAGTGTTCCATACTAGGATGTAACAGTTGTCCAATGCTTCCACATTTTCAATGGTAATCTACCTTAGATTGACTCATGCATTCAACTATTTAATAATAAATTTTCTATATTTACATTTGAATGCATGTATAAACAGTTCATGACAAAAACAACAACAATATTGAGATGGTGGAGAAGATTTGTAGCTCAGGTGGATGAGTTTTGATGGAGTTTTATTCTCAGAGCTAGATGGTTTGATCGTGGAGCTTCCATCGTTCTTCTGAACGACATCATCGTCGTTCAGAAGAACGATGGAAGCTCCACGATCAAACCATCTAGCTCAGAGAATAAAACTCCAACAACAACAACAACAATATACCAATATGCAATTCATGTAAATAAAAAGTAGACCACAATTTTAAAGATTTAACATTCATATTAGAAACTTACCGACATAAATTAAAAATTGAATAAAGTATTTTTGATTACATTCACCAACACAATTATTAATCCTGTAATATTGAATAAAAAGAAGAAAGTAAATAGGTTACACATAACAACAAATCAATCATCTTGATCAGTAATTTAATTTGTTAATATTTACAATACACTTGAACGTGAATGATATAAGCCAGTAATGAAGAAGAAGAAGAAAGAAAAAAAAGAAAGACGATTTCATGGAACAATTTGAAAGCATCCTAATCCAATAAATGATTCAATAGGTCTTAGTTAAATGGAAATTATTTGATGAATAAATGACTCAAATAACTAGTTTACAGTCTTAAACAGAACACTCAAAATAACCAAGAGATTATTCATTTAGTGAAGGATTGAATCTTAATTTATAAACAAAACCATTTAGAAATCGGTCACAATCTCAGAGGTCAATTCGAACAATTACCAGAAAGTCTTCTCGTATACACTAGGAAATATCTCACATTTTGACAAAAGAAAAACGCCTTCCGCCTAACATCTCAAAAGAATATTGCTAGCTATAGAATAGATCGAGTAGTGTTCCAGTTGGCTTATCTTCTCTCACTCGGGTGCTTGTCAGCCAATCAGTGATAGAATAGTTTTCTTCTTTTACCCCACTCCAAACCCACGCATACTAGCCTCAAGGTTAAGCCAGTCAGCCTACCTCGTCAAGGTCTTAATCTAGATTAGACATGTTATCCTCTGCACGAAGTGGGTAGACAGATCAAGGACGTAACATGAAGCATGTTTGTAGTTACTTCAATGTCTGACTTCCGTGCTTCAGCTGGTATATTGTCAGGTCCTGCTGCTTTCCCGCTCTTGATTTGTTTGATGCATTCCAAGTGAGGACCGGAGTCACACAAGGTTGCTTACTCTCCCTCTCCCTCTTTCTTCTAGTAGTCAATTGGATTATGAAGACCTCAACATCAGAGGGAAAGCACGAAATACAACGGATAGCTTGCAATCAATTAGAAGATTTGGACTTCACAGATGACCTGGTCCTTCTATCCCATACACACGAACAAGTGCTGGTGAACACAACTAGTGTAGCAGCAGCCTCTGCATCAGTAGGCATCAACATACACAAAAGAAAAAGCAAGATCCTTAAATACAACACACAGAATACCAACCCAGTCACACTTGATGGAGAAGCTCTGAAAGATGTGGAATATTTCACGTACTTGGGAAGCATCATCGATAAACAAGGAGGACCCCGTGCAGACGTAAAGGTGAGGATTGGCAAAGCAAAGACCGCATTCCAACAGTTGAAGAACATATATGTCAACCAACATTAAAGTCAAAATCTTCAATACGAGTGTCAAGACAGTTCTACTGTACGGAGATGAGACGTGGAGAACTACTACAACCATCATCTAAAAGGTACACGTATTTATAAACAGTTGTCTACGTAAGATACTTAATATCCGTTGGCCGGATACCATCAACAACCACCTATTGTGGGAGAGGACAAACCAGCTTCCAGCTGAAGGGGAAATTCGGAAAAGACGTTGGAAGTGGATAAGATATACATTACAGAAACTACCAAACTGCATCACAAGGTAAGCCCTAGCTTGTCATCCTGAAGGGAAACATAAAATAGGAAGGTCAAAGAACACACTACATCAGGAATCGGAAGCAGACATGACAAGGATGAATAGCAACTGGGAAGAATTCTCCAGGACAGGGTTGGATGGATAGTGCATGTGGGTGGCCTATGCACCTCCACGAGGGATAATAGGCGGAAGTAAGTAAGTAGGTTCGAAAGATATATACGGTAGAGCCTAGTTGCTGACTTTGGGGCTTATAGGAAGGATAGAAAGAGAACCTGCCGAATAAAGCACCAGTGCGAATTCAGCATTCAAGGTTACTGGTGATGGCTGGAAGTGTAATTGGCCCAATCAGAGATATTACGTCAAGCTGCACCTAGGCTTCACTCCCAGCTGGACGAAGTATGCTCCAAAAGTTTGAAGACTGACTGTTAATTCAAAATTAAGAGAAAAATGAAAGAAACCTATAAGTTTTGATTGATGAGACACACAGCGGCGCATACTGCAGACATCCGGTTTTGTGATTGGGTTAACGTGGGTTTCGTAAAGAATATCTATAACAACGAAGAGTGCAACTCCAGACAACAGTAAAGGGAGAGTGCGCTTTATTTGATCTTCCGTCAAACAAATCAACCATGAGCTTCTCTCATGAGCAACACATCAGAAACCATGGTTATGAGCCATTGATCATCTGGTTACTGTAAACAATCCATCTACCAGACGAACATGAGCAGAAGACCAATATCCACAACCAATAGCTTTCCTAACTTATACAGGATGTTTGGAAAGACATGTATTCGTGTAGATGGAGATTTTGTCAGCCGCTGCCGATTTCCTTTCATTCTGCACACATATTTAATATAAAAGTTATTCTCTACCCGATAGGTATCTCAGTTGACAAAACAACAAAGTTTGATTCCCATAAACTGTAAATTGTTTGGCGAACTCTTCTTCCGTTAAAAACCCAACGCCAACGAACATCTCTCGAAACATATTCTCCACCTCGGTGCTTGATATAGACATGTAAAATGACTTTACTGCGGCAACAAGATTTGTAAAGTGACACTATTGAAGTTGACAGTTTCTATTCATCAGAAAGCAGGTTCTCTATATGACATTTTTCATTAATCTAAGGGTAATGGAGACAATTTCACACCCCAAAAAATTACTACTTCAGATCGTTCTTTTAGTGTATTAAATGTTCTTTGGCATGAGTCGTGATTTAACGAGAAAACTCTCTAATATGTGATGCATCACAGTCTGGACACGCTAGTCTATAGACACAATTCTGTGCCAAAATTATAGGAATTTTAGCTTTTATTTGAACTAAATCATTTCGAAGAGTGTTTATTGTTCGTTTATAGAATTTTTTAATTTTGTGTGATCCAATGAGTCGTTGCAGGTGTTAAGTTAAACCGTAGTAATGACACCACTAATACCGTTACTAATTATATCATACTGACATGTCGCTGTGCCGATGTTGTGTGATAAATCAAACTGGTGCACATGTTCCAAAATTTACGTTGTGTATGTCTGACTAACTGAACTCTGATGGGTGTGGTTGGTGATGTCATGTTTGCCGAGCTGCATGATCTGACACTACAATCTCTGTTGAGATATTTTAGAAGGACAAGGAAAGCTTTAGCATTGAACCATCCAATTCATTAAACTCCGCATAAAAGAATGAAAAATATTTATGATACAACTGGGGAAAATATTTTTCAAAAAAGCACGGTGTATAAAATGAACAAACGTTTGTCTAAATACATACATATATCACTGACCAGGGACAATGGTGATCCATTCGTCTGACACACCGTCGACAAATCCGGCAATGATGAGCTCTCGGTGGCCTATGTATTCCACATTTATTACAAGTAGTCCATCCATCAGGTTTCTGTATATAACGTTTAAAAAAGTGGGGATATCAATTTCAAAAACAAAGATGTAAATTATACCAGTAAGCCGTAATTCAGTCAGATGCGATGCAGAACCTGGACATGCATGTTTCACACCAAGTTGCCACACTCCATTAACATAGATGAAATTATCACAGCATATCCTAGAGTAGCAAAAGTAATGCATTATTAGTACTAGTAATGTCCTTAACCAACCAATCAAATCGCTGATCAAACACCCACCACGTCAACCTGGTTTGATGTGTCTGTAGACTATTCCTGTTGCATGTGGCCTGTCAATTGAAGGACATTGTTGTCATATCGTATTAGTGTGACTGTAATTCATATTTTTTATTCATTTCGATAAAACACGCGACACTGGTCGGCATGTTTGTGCGTTTCACTTAGTGAGTATAATTCCTTTAATTATTGTACTAATTGAATTGTTTTTACATTCAGAAATAGATAAAGTTTAAAGCCAAATTATCCTTGTTCTTACTATACGTTTCACATAGACTCTGGGTCGTCAGTGTCGCGTTTACAGTTCCGGTAGAATGTTTGCAAGACAGATTAAATCCTACATTAGTGGTAATAGGACAGATTAAACATACAAGATATAAGTTATGTATGAATCGATAGCTGAGTTCATCAAAATCAACTAAAAAAAATAAAGCATTATCGTTCCCTGACAGTTTTATCACGTAACAGGTGTGCTGGATACAAGTAGACTAAATTCTAACTTAAAGCACTGATAATGTTACAGAACTGTTGCATAAGAAACCTACTTAAATTGCTTGCGGACATCTATTTAGTTTGATCATTTTTGTTATGAACTAATAGAAGTCGTTTTTTATTTAATAACATATTGCAGCGAAAACATACCTTCAAAATATCCAAATCTCCACAAATTACATATATTAATGGTAATAGTATGACTACTACTGGTGAGTGCTTTGAGATGAATCTTTAAATTTTAATCAAAAGCTGTGACCAAAACAAGAATGATGTGTTTACCTACCTATGCTGTTGGATAGAAATTGAGCGATATAGTAAAACGGTTAAAGCTGAAAACCGAGATCAGTGGATTTCAACCAGTTGATTGAATGGTATTGTGTGCTTTAACACCTAGAGGTTTTCGACTTAATCTTGGACGAAGTAGTGAGTGAGTAGAGCCAAGGTGTCCTAAACTAGGAAGAGCTACACAATGATTTGTGGTTTTCAGAATTTTATCAACTGTTATCATTCTGCAAAGAAAACCATCTTTGAATAGACCTAAAGGTTCACTTTCCTCTACTAGTCAACCGATCACATTTTCTAACTATAAAGTTATTTAGATAACTTACTGAAGTATTAGTTAGGGTGTTTCTTAATTGTGGTGAAATTTACTTAAAACTGTCATTTAAATTTGGTTAATGGGTGATACTGGCCCGTTTACAATAAGTGGACAAAGCTAGATGAGTTTTTATTACATCTTGTACTCTGAAAAGCATCAAGTTTGATAACCTTACACAACAAACTATTCGGAAAACTGTATGTAAAAGAGGAGATATTACCTGGACACTAGCTAACTGACTAACAGTATACCGATGCAAAGGTATCAGTCCTGGATCCGTTACGGCAGCACATATATGAGAAAATAATAGTAAAGAAGCCACTATATTAAAGCATATCGTATTCAGAATAGCCCAAAAGCTGAAAAGAAATGGCAAATGGTAGAAAAGGGGGTTGAGAACATGCTCTTTGAAAAATGAAAGCAATCATTACGATAAATCACATTCTGAGTAATTTACCCATACACAAATCATATCAAACAAATGATTTAACTGCGCAAAATCAGAAATTTTTCAGCTATTATATCGCAGTTGAATAAGAAAACATCTTCGGGACATACTTTAAATCAGACTGGTCAAGTCAGTGGAATAGTCTTGTAGTGAATGAGTACAGCTAATAATAGTACTAACAATTACTAAAATATACATATATGGTAGTTGACATATTCCAAATCCAATAGCTACTTAATATAGGTGGATTGAGGTTTATTGTTATTGAAATATGAGGTAGAAGCGGACAACTATAGTGGACTTATATCTGAAATATTCGCAAATAGACTTTTCCATGACTATAGTTTCAAAATTTTAATAGTCATATTATATATATAAACCAGTTGATTTTACAGTTTCCTTCTTGATACCAGGGAAAAGTAACTCTAAATCTTTGGGTGAGTCTGCTGTAGCTTCTCGAGCTACTCGGCTGCAAGTTCCAGAAACAAGCCATTTAGAGTTCGATGTTTTGTCACTCGTTTTTTCAATAAATGATAGTTGCTGCGATTAGTGGCTGTCACACCACTCGGCAGTGGTTTGGTTGGTCGTATTAAACCAGGACAATAAGGTGTGAAGTACGATAGAAAACAAAATTTAAACAATCCAAAATAATGGGGAGATAAATTTAAACCATAATGAAGATAATATGCAGGTGAGAGAATGAAAAAGTGAAAGACATTGAACTGAAATGCAAGAGGAAATTAAACCAAAGAGTTGGATTTAAAAGTGTTTAATAGTGTTATTTATTTTTTAGTCAATGAAGAGCAGTCCATGAATTTTCACGCGACCGATCGGTATTCGTCTGAAATTGTCAATTGGAGACCAGTTAGATCGGTAGGACGGAGTTTTACAAAGAACACATGCGTAGTGGGTAAGAGTAGCAAATCGCCTGTGTTTTACCTCTGATAGGTGTTTTGCAGTAACTTCGTGGATCACAATGTCCCTTTATTGTAATATTAGCTTACTGGAGTAGTTGGACTACATAATATAAGACAGTGATAAGGCTACTCCTTTTCCATAGCTAAGAGAAAACCACCCTGACTCTTAGAGCCAATCCCCGTATGTCATTGGTTCAAGGCTTAGAATGTCAAGACCACAAATTATGAACGAACCAATCAGATTTACGATAACCGGCCTTGAATTTTGGCGTGAAATCAATTCATTCATTTGACTAAATAGTTTCAACATTATAGCTGATGTCAGATCGTGATGAAAACACTATATCCAATTCCTAACCCTAACTATCAACTGCAAATATTAATTCTAATTCCTCACATTGGTTTATAACCCTCATCTAACCGTAGTATGTAGGTGGATATTCTTAGGGTCTTTTTAGCGTCCCTCAAAGGTCGTCCATAAATTATAGTCTCAACCTTAGAATCTCTATCACTAAATGCCTTCGAACTTTGACAGAAAGACTTGTTTTATCGTAGGAAGTGCAGCATTACTGTGGTTTTAGAAGTGGGGTCGCATACATAAAATAACGTTCCATGACGAGCATAACAAGTTTTCCACGGAAGAGATAGGGAGTAGCGCAGTCTGTTCCCACATCTCGCGTATAATTACGTTAGTCTAATCTTCCTGTTAACAGTATGCCGAGGCCACATGCTGCAATGGTATTAGGAAAGTGACCATAAAAGATAAGAGTTGGCCGTTCAGTTTTGTGAAGTATTTGTGGTATCTGGGCAGGTTGAATTCTGGTTCATTCCTTTTTTTCCAATGACGAGAGGCTACGTCAGAGGTCCCGCGTATTTTTAAATTAGGTGAATTTTCATAGTCTGACGAATCCGGCAGATATAAAGATTGAAAAAACAAGGTTCTGTCGATAGTAAGTAGAAAAAAGGAAAGAGACAATCTAGTACGGTTATTTAAGAGACCTAGAATGTTGTAACCACAGTTCGCTTGCAATTTTGACCCTGGTGCAGAACATTAGCCTTACAAGTAGTTTTCAACACAAGGCATGGATAAAACAGCAAAACTTGTGTTAACCTTTTTACTGAAACTAAAGAACAGAAGGTGAGTTTAAAAGTATTTATTTACCACATGGAAGGTGCGACAGAAGGTAATCTCATTGGGTGGATACGAGTAAACGAACACTTTAGTAGGACCACTTGGTTGTTTTACCTGCTAGAAATCTTGCCTGAAATTTCCTTATTACATCACTTAATGTTTGAAATGTCACTTAGTGCTCTATTTTTCACCTAAATAAGCACCAGACTGTCTACTTTTTACTTGATCGGCTAATCAGTACTAAGCAGTTATGACAAGTTTTCTCGGCTCTTAAGTCTCAGGTGCACGAGATATCATTCAAAAGCTACTGTTTACTGGTTGCTAATTATACTAAATTCAAATCCTTGGAAATATTGGGACAAGAACACTTAAGTAACGGCTTACTAATAAAAATGATTCAAAGTGAAACGAATACCATCACCTGTTTTTGAGAACCGGAAGAACTAAGTAAAATACCACGACATAATCCGAGTATAATACAAGCAAGTGAGTTATCAAAACACATGCTATACCACATGGGTCAAGCCTGAAAACCATAACCCCTCATAACTTTCGGTCCGGGCGCTTTGACAAACTTTACTCATCGAGGTTCAATATCTCTATCTTCAATCTTCAGTAATAAATATAGGTACAGGAGGTCTATCGAATCATATTAATCCCTGCAGTTTGTAAAACTGTGAAGGTCCAATACTGTTTTGAATATATCAACAGAAGGTGCTTGTATTACATGTTCTGGAAGAGAATTCCAGTAATTCACTACTCAGTGTGAGAAAAGAAACTCCAGACTTAGATTATTTGATCTCGGCTTTTGAACTGTCTTCGAATGTTCTCCCACATTACCAGTCCTAGACGGAAGGAAAAGATAAGACATATTATTACCTAGGTCATCGTTCAGTATACGATAAACCAATATTAGATCACACCGTAATCTGAGGTAAGATAATTGAAATAGGTTGGGACGAATTTTCCATAACACCCTATAGCCTTTTGCAGGAGCAACCCTGCAGTTACTAGTAGTTGTGAGATCACTGTTTATAATGACTCCTAAATCGTTAGTTTCTTAATCTGCTTAACGCGAATCCACATATTGTGTGATATTACGACTCGTCACAGTTGTTTAATTGCATCACCGCATTGTTGTTAATATTTGCTTCTACTGACCATCCGTCTATCCATACCACTAATGAGTTGAGATCATCCTGTAATACTATTCTATCTGATATATTGTGTATAGGTCTCCAAATCTTTGTATCATTGGCTATACCAATATCCAGAACCTTTCTTATTAGCCTGCGCAAACCTTTTGAGTTCTTGAAGTTCATATCTCGGTTCTAAAGTGCTAATCAATGCCTTCGGAAGCATTAAGCGAGGAACAGATAAACACTCAGCTACCCTACTTCTATTGGATTCTAGTCTTTTGCGTTTTGATATGTCATGAGCACAGACGAATACATTTATTCAATAGTAGTAGAGTTTCCAAAACCAAATGTTATCACATTATCTGAAGGTTGTCTGGTTTGTGTGGGATTAAAAATACCTCAAAATAAATAGTTTCTTAAAGGACTCGACATTATTCCCGAATGTTGATTTAATAGATGTTTAAGGGCTGCATTGGATATATAACAGATTGGATCACTAGGTGGATTTAGTTCTAATATGCCTAAACTACCTAAAGGACCTTAATTAAGCAACCTCATCAAATCAAGTTTCAAAGGTACCGGGACATATATTTCCTACCCGTATTCATAAACTTCTTTTCACCCTAACACTGTGGTTTCATAAAAGGTCACTCTTGCATAACCAACCTGCTGTCCGTGGTGGGCAGACGGACAACCATCGTTGATCGCAAGGGGAAGGTTGACATCATATACCTTGAATTCTCAAAAGATTTTGATAAGGCCAACCATATATGTCTAATCAATAAACTCAACGATTAGGTGTCAAATCATCTTTACTTGATTGGCTCACTTCATATCTAAAAAATCGAAATTTTAAAATTACGGTTAACTTCAATTTCTCTCAGGCTATGAAATGTCCTAGTGGAGTCCCCCAGGGTTCAGTACCAGGACCTGTTCTCCTCTTGATTTGCGTAGACGATCTTCCGCAGCAAGTATCGTCAGATTTATTACTTTTTTCTGATGACTTAAAATTCTGGAGAGAGATAGGCAACCAAGAGGATAAACTGGCACTTCAGAAGGACTTGACTTGACTTCAAAGTTGGGCAGATGACAACAGACTTATGTTTAACATTTCAAGGTGTAGAGCTGTCCATCTGAGACATGCTGCAGACTACAGTTACAACTTAGGCAACTCCCCTCTAAAGGTATCCCAAAGTTGAAAATGATCTAGGAGTGTTGATACCCTATGATTCGAAGTCTAACGCTGTGACAAAAATACCTCCCGAGCAAACCTTGCACTGGCAACATTGAGGCGCGTTTCCGGACAGTTCGATGGAAGAACTTTCCACATAATCTTCAACAGTTTTATTTGTTCACATTTAGAGTACAGAAACATAGTATTTCCTCTCTCACTCCAAGAGGATAAAAACACTCTGGAATGTATCCAACGGCAAGTCACAAAATCAGTTCGTGGACTCAAATTTAAGCGTCTTACAGGTGACCTTATGACTTACAGCATCCTTAACACCTCTGGGAATCCTTTTAAAAACCTACGTGAGCTTAGTCCCAACTCAAATCTAAAGAGAAACACTAAGAAACTGGAGACACAACACAGCAGAATGGACTTTAGACACATTGTCTACTCCTTAAGAGTTGTCAAATGCCGGAATTCACTGCCGGCTGAGCTATTGCAAGCGACTTCCCAAGAGTAGTTTAACAGAAAACTTGACATATTCTTAAGGACTAAGGACAGTATTCTACTATGGTTTATCAAATTTGTTTTCCTTTTTCTATTTTACCGTTAGTACACCTAGGTTACAACCTGAAGGTATTGGTGATTCACTGCTACTAGATACGAAAGCCCTTCAAGCGAAAGCTTCTTCTGTTCCGCCTAGACCAATATGAACTATTCCCACCCTGTTTAGAAGCCATATATTACGATACTTCTGTATACAAATCTAATATCACTCTTCGCGTATTCATCACCGAATTCATCCCTATTTCCCCTGGGATTAATTTCCAGAAGATATTTGCTTATTAACATAGCCTTACTCTACCATATAAAAACCATCTTCGTTAGTGAGCTCGATGTCGTAGTGTCTAATATTAATATATGCTCATATAATCAACCCTAACTTTAACAGACCTGGGTAGCTCAAACGAAATGTGACAATTAATCACTTTTGCCTTTATAATAACTCTGCTGTTTTCAAAAGAACCTGTAAACTTCAGCACGCACGCAGCTTATTTGTATAACAGTATTTCTACGCCTATGTGCTTTGTTCATACTTGTGTGTCCTGGTTTGTCACTCATTATTTCACACAATGCGTCTCTTCTCCACACTACCCGTTATATCTTTCGAGCCTACGTTCTGCCAACATTATCATTTAACTCAATCGTATTAAAAAAAACAGGTCCCTATTATATGGTTCAGTATATCAAAGAACATCCTATAAGCTTATTCCCTGATTCACCGTTTATGTATAAATAATACGGATTATGATACGCTTTTCTGTGTTTTTCGAATCTCTTATTTTTACATATTCCTTATCCTACAATCATTAAGCACAATCCAAAGCCAATTTAGATTAGGAGGCCGGATCTCCTCACCTTTACAACTCAAGCCATTATGGTTGGATAGTATGGCAGCAAAGTACTACTGTGTATAGTCTGACTATTACAGTCGTGGTGTGATCAGTCTGCATGCTCATTTTCTTGCAGTCACAAACGCATTACCTGACCAAACATACTTTAAATCCAGAATGTTTAAAAGAGAAGTGCATGAACCTTACGAAACGCCCAATAAGTGTCTTTAAAAAGTGAGATTTAACCGATCTACAGGAGTTGGTAAGAATATTTCACGGTGTTAAGCTGGGACATGGTTCTTGAAAAGAAATGTTGAAGCTAAGGGGAGTCATAAATAAACGTGGATTTAGCGAAGAGGTTTTGTGATGATTGGGAGTATTTGAATTATAGTATGAACTAAGAATCCCAGAAATAACATAATTGGATCAAGAAGTACTAGATAACCACAAACGAATGTACTGTATTTAGAATTCGAAATCGAGCTTTCAACAAGTACAAAGGAATCATTAGTTCATTCAACCACCACAGGTTTACAGATCATTTCTTCCGTTCAAGTCCCTGTAACAAGTGGAAACTGTATTCATCCTTTTCAAAACTAGTGTGCTTGGTGATTTGGCAAACCAGATCTTATAAACTACCAAACCTTCCATATTGTTGTCTTCTTCAAGATAATGTCCTCACTTAAATTAAAATCTTCAAAGTCAATGAAACGTTTACTTAACTATTTTAAGAGGCTCTTCACGCAAGGAATGTTTTGCTCAACAATCTGAAACTGAGAACACTGACTGGTATTGATACCACAACACTTGCAGCAAGTCGTTCTGCAACTGGAGAATGCCTTGGAGCTTTCCTAACCTCTAACAACTATTGCTACGACGTTAGAAACTACAATATCGACACACGTTAGCACTGTTTAGGGCCGTTAGGTGTTGTTCTGTCATACAGTACAGATATGATAACGAATATCCAGTATCTCTTTGATAACTAGCGTTCTTCCCAAAAATTCTAGCTATTTTAAACAAAAACCTGTATTCGACTTGTAGACTGTTAATCACAATCACTTTAAATTTTTGGCAAAATCATAATTTGAATACCTCGTGAATCGACACTGTGATTACTTCGAGTGTAAATAAAGATTTATACTCATTAGAAGCTCTCACCTCATAAAAGTCATGACCGAATGAACATCGCTCCAAAGAACGATGTTTACCGCAGAACACATGTTTAACAAACTTGTGCCTACGTTCTCTATATCTCCACAGAAATGAGAATGACTATTTACTTCATGAGAATTTCGATGATCATGCAGTGTTATCCTTCGTGGTCACTCAGTAGAGCGTGGTGGTAAATTCATACATAAAAACATTTTTTTTCATAAGCTCCTGAAATTGATTCTGACCTCACTGATTTCATCGAATGCAGTCTGATATTAAGGTACGTGGTCAGGGATCTAAACTATACCTGTTTGTGTACGCTGTTTTGCTCAACTTTTACGGCAACCAGTCAAGAAAACGTTTGCAATGACAGGGCTGCAAAGCCCTGTATATCTGTTAAATCTATAGCATCTAAACGTCTCACTGTCCGCAAACAATTATCATTCAATGCTCCATTGTTAATACAGCCTGCTACTGAGATAAATAAGCTCTTAAACAAGTAATCAAATAGTCCAAAAGTTAAATTTGCGCTTGCCAACGGAGTTTATTTCTTGCACCCTGTCTCCGCGGCTCAGTTATGAAGTCTCTGACTTTCTGATCATCTCACCGCATCACATGGAAGTCAGGTTTTTATGTCCATTTGGAGTTGGTACATTATACATTACAGAATAACAGTCG